GCCTTCAGGTGCCAAGGAGGGGACCTGAGTGACGCGGAGCCGCTGACTGGGGTTTCCCTGTCTTGCGGGGCTCGCGGGAGCCGGGAGCAGAAGCCACAGCTCTGGAACACAGGGCAGGCAGGCAGTCAAGTCAGGCTCCAGCAGCAGTTGCCGGCGTGGGGCTTAACACGAGGCCGGCAGCGCTGGGTGAATTCCCGTCTGAGCGATCCCAGGGCTTGGACCAAGTGCCTGTGCCCGCTTCTCCGACCCGGCTCCCCACGCTCCCCACTGCCCCGCTGGCTCCTTCCCAGCGGTTCCTCGGTGCCTGGGGGCGCCTTGGAAGAGGTATGGGGCTGGCGCTGAGTGTGGAGGTGTAAGAGGGCCAACCCCAGGGCAAGGGCTTCCAACGTTGATCTTTTGGGTCAGGACAACAGTGAACAAACCCCGGCTGAAGTTTGGACATCAAAGGTTTCAGACCAAGTAGCAAGTTGCCTGGAGAGCGAGTGGTTCTAAGTGGAGGGTCCGGGGCAGAGGTGGCGGTAGGGGAAGAAGGGGGAGGCAGGAGATGGTGCCCCTTTCCACACAGCCCCTCGCGGCCCCGCGGGTAGGTGGCTGGTCCGCCTCTGCAGCCCGCGGGTGCGGATAAAGCGCCCGGCACCGGGCACCGGGCACCCCGCACCGCGGCGCAGCGCAGCCAGCCCCTCCTCGCCACGCTCCGCGCTCCTCCCCACCTGCCCACGGGCTCGCCCCCGCTGCGGAGACTCACAGTCCTCAGAAACTGGATCTCGTCCTCGCCTCCTTCTCCCCCTTCGGCCATGGCTCCCGAGGCGTCGGCGGTGCCCCAGCCTCCGGCGCCTCTGCTTCCCCCGGCAACCGCTCGGCGTGCGCTGACTGCTGCTGCGCTCTTTCTCCTCCTCCTCCTCTTCGTCCTCCTCCTCCTCCGGCTCCTGGCTCAGCCTCAGCAGTGCCTAGCTAATCCCCGACCATATAGGGAGCTGGGCTAACACTCCACTGCACTGCAGAGCGCCAACGCCAGCCGAGCCGCCCGCCCACCCCTCTCGCCTCTCGCCCCAGCCAAGTGCGCTGCGGCCGCCCGCTCCGTGGAGAGCGCAACGCCGGGCGCGTTGAGCCGGCGGGGGCGGCGCGGGGGCCCTGGGCTGGCGCGGTGGAGCCTCCCCCGCACCGCTGGGCACCGCACCGCACACTCAGCGGAGGCGCGCACCCCGCGGCGACCGGAGGATGTCCCCCAAACTGCTCCGATTCACAAACAAAGGCCAGTTGCTTAGCTCCAGCCCGCCCAGACTGGGTACCAACCCTCTGGCTTTGCCCAGTTTGTGTGTGTGTGTGTGTGTGTGTGTGTGTGTGTGTGTGTGTGTGAGAGAGAGAGAGAGAGAGAGACAGAAAAGAGAGAGAAAGAACACACACAGACACACACATACAGAGAGAGAGAGAAAGAGAGAGAGAGAGAATATGAGAGAGAGAGAGAGAGAGAGAGATCTGGACTCGAATGCCTTGCTCAGACCCGCGTGCCTTTTTGGGCAAGGAGAAAACGGTGCAGTGAGGAGCAAGAGTGACTGTCCACTGATAACAAAGTTTGCAACTCCCTAGATAGTCCTTTCTAAACCTTAGGACAACACCTTCCCCCTTCAAAATTGGTAAGTACACTTTACCAAACCCCTAGATTGTCCAGGGTTGCTGTAATTTATTTCTGTAAATTACAGGGAGCCTCTGGGGGCTCCTGTTCGATCCTCAATATGAAAGTCAGGTGGCATCACAATTCTTCTTTTCCACTCACCCCTAACCTTATTTGCATTTTAGAGTTCCATCCCTGTGGACTCTAAAGGAGTAGAGGGGAGTAGTTCCAGGAGGTTCTCTTCCAGATCCCGGAAGACTCCTACATCCCACTGAGCCTTAGGTCTTTTTCCATGGTTGGGGGCTGTCAGCTTGGTCCTTCCCTAGGCTAACGGTGCAGGGTGCCCCCTTCTGTTGGATGGCCGAGAAGCTCCAAGGCAAGAGACGGTTCAAGGCAAAAGGCACCAGACAGAGATGTAGATTTAGAAGGAAATGCAACTGGGAAGGTGGTCATTCTAGGCTGAGGCTGGTGGAAGACACTGGAAAACCCAGGCCGTTTCACACCTTCATATACTACCTCCTTGTGGATGACATCTATCTCTTGATTCTACCTTAAGGCCTTTCCTGCGCTTCTGTTTCACATGTTCTGATGAACATCAGAAATGCTAAGAAAAATAATAGTTTTTTTTCCTTATATTGTCCTCAAACTGCTACCTTCTAAAGGCTGCAGCTTGGTCCCTATGCCTCTTCTGAAGTCCGCCTAGAACAAGTCAAGCCATCTGTACATGTGGCCTTTACCTCTCAGAAGGCATCTGCCATGCTTGCCTCTATGGCCCACCATCCGCTTCTTCCCCTGGCTAAAGACTCTCCTTACCCCCAGCTTTCCCTGTAGTATGGTTTTCAGAGCCTACATCATCTTTGATGGCCATATAAACATTCCAGGTTGTCTTCTTCCTGAATTGTTGTGCTCTCCGTCCTTGTTTTGGACAGTCTTTATGTGTAGCCTAATATTGCATTGGCTTTTGGGGAAATATCAATGATGCTCACGGGTTTGCAGTTAACTAGAATTTCTAGATGTTTTCTCCCATGTGAACTGCAAAAATCAGCTCTTCTCCATCTTGATCATGTGTAAGTGCTCGAGTACCAGCTTTAAAAAATATTCCTTCCAATTATAATACGCAGTCATGTATTGGTGTCTCTCTATGTGAACCTTTAAGATATTTTTTAATCTAGAGTATGCCATGCAAGTTCCTAATTATTACTAACCTGTGATATGGCATATCTTTAGAATAGTAATAGAGACCCTCTTGGATAAACTTTCATACTTTTGATTATGCTTACTTAATGGTCAAGAACTTACCTAAGTCAGAAAAAAAAAATTCCTTGAGTACTATGCTTATTACATGGGTGATGAAATCATCTGTACACCAAACCCCCATGACATGCAGTTTGCTCATGTAACAAACCTGCACATGTACCCTTGAACCTAAAACAGAAGTTATAATTAAAAAATAACCTGCATAAATATATTGTTTTGCAGCCCAAATTTTTTCTTGTTCACCGGACTACTACAAATCTATTTTTCACATACTTTACTAAAATAAAGATATGCAACCTGGGATACCACCTCCTGTATCAGTCAAACAACCCTACCACAAAAAGAAGTAAGAATGGAGTTCTGTAACTCCACTAGTGTGTCCACTTGGATTCCTGATGGTCTCTGTGTTTCTTTAGAGTGCCCAAAAGTAAGCTGTTTAATTATCAGAATCTAGGATTGCTCTGGAGCTCAGCTTACAGAGTCTCAGACTGTTATTTCAGCCTGTGAACTGGGGAAGGTGGACATTTACCTCTATTTGAAATCTACTGGCACTTCTTCCATTCTGTAAGATTTCCCAGAGATTCACCAAAAACGATGCTGTAGTCATATAAGTATAGATAAATAGTCATTCAGACACTGCTTTGATACCTGTTTTGCTACCAGTTCACCCATTAAGACTGGGAGAGAATAAACTAATAGTAAGTTACTTGTCTAAATTCATACATCTAGTAAAAGGAGTCAAACAATCTCTTCTGACTTGGAGTAAAACAATCTCAATACTTTTCAGTACTTTCTCCACTATACTGCCTTGCTTCTAGAATAGAAAAGTGTAAAGATCAGGTTGATACGTCACCTCCATGCTCCCATATCCCATACACATTGGATTTGCTCCCACACAGCCTCTATTTTAAACTGAGTTTCTCTCAAGACCAGTTGCTTTTAGTAGAGAGCCAGAGGACTTGGGCCTTAGGTCTTAGAGGATAATGTAGTTGCCAAATTTTGAAAGAACACAAAGCCTCCCAGGTTTCTAAACCCTTGGAGAAAGCTATTAGCCATTATTATGACTTCAATTAGGTGACCGTCTTGAGAAGTGAAATACCTTTGGGATACTAGCATGGTTCAAAGGCAGACCTCAAAGCCTGCTACATTTGAATGTCGTAGCACTGTGTAGCCCTTATCAACAGCAGGTGGAAAGCCTGTAGTGGAGGCCAAATCAGAAATGTTTCATTTTTATTGTTGTAGCCCTTTTACATATATCATTTTAAAGGCCTGACAAAATCTGTAGCCTGATTATTAAAATAAAATTTATGTATTTATTTTCTCCTCTGGCAGGTTCTCAAAGTGTTGATCTTGAGGATTTTCTCACATAAGATGGCCTCTCATTTGTGTTTTAACAGTAATATTGCTATAGTCTTAAAATGCTAATGAAAATGCCCACACTCATATAATTCAGTATCTCATTTGCTATGCTTTATTATTCATGGTGGCCAGTTGCCCAAGTGGTCTCAATGAGGCCAAGGATACGGATTCAATTCTAGGAGGGCCAGTTAGCTTCACTCTATTTGCTGTCCAAAGACCCTGCCCCTTCACTGTGGTTAAAAGCCTCATAAATCTTTGTTCATTTAGCCATAGGGGAGGCAGGCTTAAACTTTAACTAGCAAGGACTTCCCATGCTTGGAGACACAGAAGCTAAGAGGTCACACTTGATAAAGATAGCCTTCACCCATGTTAATAGCGATATATTAAACTCTACATAACACTGAATCCTTCTCCAATATCTATTTCAGCCTTACCTCCTAACTAAAGGAATCATTCATTCGCTGAAAATGCATTTCTTTAGTTAATTGCACTCATGGCTTCCATTTGCATTGACTTAGGTTCTGCCTAAGGAAAGTATAATAAATAAAATAAATATAATAAATAAAAGAGAATGATGAAAAGAACTGTAGAGCTGAGGGAGCTGACTCTGCTACCTACCATCTTTTAAAATATCTCACCATATACACAAGAACTATCTATATACTGACTGAAGTTTTTTTTTTTTTTTTCATTAGCAGAAAGAAAAATATCCCACTTTTCTCTGCTTTTTGTTCAGGTATTTAAATTGTGAAGCTCTTTTACTGGGGATAAGGCAAGAAGGTATTGTCACCAGGGAAGGCTGTGAACAGGAAGAAATAACTCCTGAGACTACCCCTGCTTTTGATTTGGTGCCAGTAGGAAAGATGGTATACACATTTTACGAAAGTCATTTTTTATGTTAAGCAAAAATCTAGCCGGTCGTGGTGGCACGTGCCTGTAGTCCCAGCTACTCGGGAGGCTGAGGCGGAAGAATCGCTTGAACATGGGAGGCAGAGGTTGCAGTGAGCTGAGACTGCGCCACTGTGCTCCAGCCTGGGCGACAGAGCAAGTCTCTGTCTAAAAAAAAGAAAAAAAGAAAAGAAAAAGAAAAAATTATCATTAGTTTCTAAGCTCTTTATAATAAACGACTAAATTGTTATATGCCTTAAAACTTGGAAGCCATACCAAAACTCCTTGATTCAGATTCCTTTCTTCAATAGAGAGGGGACAGGTACATAAAAAATATCTTTCTTTTTCTGATGATATGTGCTTTCTTATAAAAGCCACAGACACCATAACTGCTTAACACAGGCAAGGATCCAGTTACCGATACCTTCCTGAAGCAGAACACAGGGAAATGTCGCTGCCACCGCCTCCTCCTTCTCCTTCTCCTCCTCCTCTACCTCTTCTTCCTCCTCCTTTCTTCTTCTTCCTTTTTTTTCCTGCCTCTACTCCTTCTTTTTCACCTTCTCCTTCTTTCTCTTTTTATATCTTAAGATTGGAGGATTACATTATAAGATTAAAGTTAATATGCCACTCTGGCGAAAGGCTCTGTAAACTAAGTGACTCCAAGAAGGGGCTTTGTCCCAGGGGGGTTGGGGCAGCCTCTGAGGCACAGCAGAGACAGAGGCAAGCTGAGCACACCTGCAGAAGCCTAGGAGGCAGATCATCTTGCAAGCTGCCACCCATTGAGCTGATTCATCTTCAGGAGTCTCCAGTTGGAAAGGGCTATTAAAGCAGTAGATTAAGCCACAATCATTATAGTAGTTCCTTAGCATTTGCGTGCAGATCAGCCTCTGTTTAACAGTAAATTTATATTGTAATCATTGTGTTTAGCAACAGCGTTGACATTAGAAACACAGGGGTTTGAGTCCTGGGCAAAACTCTACCATTTGTATGACTCTGAGCAAATAACTGAAACCCTGAAAGCCTCTTTTCATTTTATGAAAATACCTACTTTTGGGTGTATTTTAAAGATTAAATGACTGGGTGATTAGACTGTTTAGCAGAATGTCTTGTAAAAGTGCTCAGCACAACACACCTTGATATTTCTTGCAGATCTGTCCCTGTCCTCCTTTGTGTTGGTTTCCAACGCCTGCTCTTCGGGAATGTTTGTATTCTTGCCTCTTTTAAAGTTCTATTCTCATTCTACTTTTTATGAGGCCTTTTCTCACAAAAAAAGACACAATGCTTCTGATTTCAGCAAATGATTTCCTGCCCCAATAAGCAAAACATTCTAGGCAGATCTCATGTGTTGCAAGTTAATGGTGAACACCAACACTGTTTTCCCGTGTTTGTTTCCTAGGGAGCTTGTTCTGAGCAGTATTATGTTTGCATCTTTAATGAGAAATGTGTTCTGTTGCTATGGCATGTTGAAATTTATGACTTCCTCTGGAAGGTGGAATTGTCAGCTTCTACCCCACTCAGGTTTCCCTTGGGTTTTATGAAATTGAGATCTAGTGGCTTAGGAAACTATACTTAATCGGGTAAGTCTCACACTAAACTCAATGCTTTTGACTTCTAATTTCTGCATTTAATTCTTCCTGTAATTCAATGGCACAGATTTATTGAAGCTGCTGCCAGCAACAATTTGCTCTGATTCACTGTAGTTTTAATAGTTCCTGCTGAAATAGGTGGCCACACAGTGGGAAAGGAAATGAAGACAGTTTTGTTTCATTTATTTCAGGTGCCAGGGCAAGACCCACATTTCAGTAGGAAAAAATGTAGGCAACTGACTTTTATGCTGGTTCTAGGGTAGTGGTTCTATGGCTAACTCCTGGGTTCAATCCCTACAGCCTGTTCTGAGCAGGTCTCATTTCCAGTATCTTTAAGCTGGTGAAATTTCATTTAAAATAATTCAAGGAATCTAACAACACAAATCCTTGTTCTTTTTGCACTATAAGGACACACAGTTTGTTAGCATTCAGAGCTCCCATGTCTTAGGGTGTGACCTCTGCTTTGCAATTCCTTGTCAGAATGTTGCTGTTGCCTCCAACATGTGTGACAGAACGTTCTGGACACTAAGAGTTCAGGAGGGCCACAGTGTTGCTGGGTGGCTCTGTTGTTCTCATCTGATGTTCAAGCAGAAGTCAGAGATCTTAAACTAACACACTTGTACCTTATCATATAATCTAGAATTGAGAATGTAGAGTCTAGTTCAATGGGTCCATAGACCAATAAAAATTTATAGACGATTTTCAGCTATATCATGGGGTTGCCATATTTTTATGTTACTATTAAGCACATTGGTAATCTAACTGTAAATTAATAGCTATTACCATTGTATAAAAGAAAGGACATTCTAACATAATAAAGTAAAAAGGACAAGTTTTAGAATTAAAAATAAATTTGACTTTATGAATCACTCACTACGTAATCTCTTTCTTTCTTTTTCTGCCTCTCTCTCTGTGGCTCTCTCTCTCTCCTTTTCCTACAAAGGAGATGAAAACCTCATCAAGATCAGCAGTGATTTGGGAATCACCAATAGAGTCAAACCCTCACTCTAAGATGATGCCCCCGAAGGTGAACTGTGAACTAAATTGATGAAAGCTGGGACCAAAGCCCAGATTTCAGGGCTCCGTGTCTAGTATTTATTTTCCCTGCTTTCTTCATAATTAAATTCAGTGTAATGACCCAGACGTACTGCAAGATCCTGGAGTGTCTTCTTAATAATCAAATATTGTCCTCTATAAAGTTATAATGTTTAGTGAATTTGCTATAGTCTAATTCTTTTAAAAATAGCTAATACATGTGTGAGAATTCTCTAGTGACTACCTAGAGTGTTTGTTCCCTAAGGGATTGTTGACTATTCTTTAAAACTATAACAACAGACAAGAAAAAGAAAGAAAGGAAGGAAGGAAGGAAGGAAGGAAGGAAGGAAGGAAGGAAGGAAAAATTTAGGTTGAGGTTAATCACTTCACTCACTTATATACTTATTACACATAAAAACAGTGTGTTGAGGAGGTTTGGGGAGTGGTAAATCTCATGTTGAGGTGATTTTAGAATAGCCCTTTATAAACACAAAATATTAATTTAGTAAATTGCATTACTGTATTAGTCCATTTGCACACTGCTGATAAAGACATACTGGAGACTATGCAATTAAAAAAAAAAAAACATATAATGGACTTACAGTTCCACGTGGCTGGGGAGGCCTCACAATCATGGCAGAAGACAAGGAGAAGCAAGTCACATCTTACATGGATGGCAGTAGGCAAAGAGAGAGAGTTTGTGCAGGGAAACTCCCATTTTTAAAAACCACTGGATCTTGTGAGACTCATTCACTATCACCAGAATAGCAAAGGAAAGACCTGCTCCCATAATCCAATCACCTCTGCCAGGTTCCTCCCATGACACATGGGAAATGCAGGAGTTGGAATTCAAGGTGAGATTTAGGTGGGGACACAGCCAAACCATATCAATGAATTACACATCACTTCACATTTTTCATATCCTTCCTCTTCTTAGTTTCTATGTCAGCATTGCAGTCTATGGCCTCAAATGTTGAGACATATTAAGCACACTTTAGCTGTGGTTCTTCTTCTTCTGAACACTTTCAGTGTTTGGCCCTGTTGGTTCACTACTGTTTCTTGGAACAACTCCCAATCCTTGGGGTCCAAGTCTTAGTACTATCTATACTCTTCCACTTCTCTGATGCTTCCTTCTTGATTTCCTTTGATAACCTCTTTCTCATCCTGACATCAAAAATGGACATTTCCTAAGATTCCAAACTTGAGCCTCCTCCATTTTCTACAAACTCATCTTCTTTTATAACTTCAGCCTCTATACTCACATCTTTATTGCCAGGTCTTCCAAGTTATAGATTTACTTTTCTAACTTTATGCTGGAGACTTCCAACTGTGTGTATCAGCATTTCTTCAAATGCAACATGACTAAAACAGAATTTATCTTGTAAGTAAGGACCTCTCCATGAGCTCCCCTTTTCCAGACCAACTGACTTCTTCCTTCTCCCAACCTTTCTATCTCTATTATTGGTACCATCATCCTTGGAAGAACAATAACTGACACTGGCAAGGGAACCAGCAGAAATAATGCGTCACTCAGTCAAAACATCAGAATGCACACACTTCTCCCTGCTGCATTGCCCCTGTGCTGGTTTCTACAACTGAGTTTGGCATGTGAAAAACAGAGTGAACAACTCTAGTAAAGAGATGCCTTCAAACAACAGACCAAGGTTATCTAGACCTAAAACACTTTAACACAAAGAGAGGATTCAGGAGTAAATGAGAGAAAATGAACTTTGCCAAGGACTTCTACAAAGAAGCTATGATTCTCTTCCAATGGGCAGAGTACCTACCTGGATCAGCACATTTCAAAGTCCCTTCAATTTGGAGCCCTTTGCTTTGAGTCCTGGCACCAAAACTGTTTAGCTTTGTGAACCTAAGATATCTAATTTTGCCTTGTCTGAATTTTCTTATTTGCAAAAGAAAAATAAAATTTAAAAACAAATTTAAGAGGGTGGTTGAAGAACTGAAGAGTCAATAACTATAAAGCTTTTGGAACAGTGACTGGCAATGAGCAGATGCTGATTTACTGTCTGGTTTCCCCAAAAGCAGACCCTGATTTGGGATCTGATCCCAGAAAGTACCAGTAAGAGTGAGAAAGTGAGACAATAAAGGGAAGGAAGCCAGTAAGGGGCAAGTTATCCAGCCAGTTACCACTGTATATGAGAAGCCCAGTCTCTCTGGGGAACTCTGGGAACTAGTGAGGAAAATGCCCTTCAGAGTCACCCTCAGAAAAACAAGAAGCTGGGGTATTTACATGTTAACTCTGGTCAGTCACTGGGGGAAGGCTGTTCCCAGGGTGTTAATTCTCTGGCCCGTCCAGCCTGCTCCAGCTGCCAGAGAAAGCCCTTGGGCAGTTGGAAATTGGGCTTCCAAAATACCTGACAATGGGAGGAAACCCAGTGTTCAATAAATATGCCGTCACCATCACCACCACTGACATCCAAAGGCAAAACCTATGAAAACGGACTTTTCTGGCTGAAGCTACAGGGAGAGATGTGGATGGTAATCCCAAGATTTGGCACTGGGTGCCCAGTCATCTCATCACAGGTGAGATACCTGAGTCAGTTCTACAAAACCTTAGGGATCCACAGACCAATTTGTGGAGCACAGTTCTTAGCATTTGTGAATACTAGGAGTGATTCAAAGAAGATGAAAATGGTATTTTTGGTTGATTGCTGGCAAGATGGCTGCATAGGGACAGCTCCTGCCTGCAGCTCCCAGCAAGATTGACGCAGAAGGCAGGTGGATTTCTGCATTTCCAAATGAGGTACCCAGTTCATCTCATTGGGACTCGTTGGACAGTGGGTGCAGCCCAAGGAGGGCGAGCCAAAGCAGTGTGTGGCATCGCTTCACCCAGGAACCACAAGGGGTTGGGGAACTCCCTCTCCTACCAAGAGAAACCATTAGGAACTGTATCGTTCACTCCTACCCAGATGCTGTGCTTTTCCCATGGTCTCATAACCTGCAGAACAGGAGATTCCCTCTGCTGCCTACACTACCAGGGCCCTGGGCTTCCAGTGCAAAATTGGGCAGCCATTTGGGCAGACACTGAGCTAGCCACAGTTTTTTTTTTCATACCCAGTGGCATCTGGAATGCCAGTGAGACAGAACCGTTCACTCCCCTGGAAAGGGGACTGAAGCCAGGAAGCCAAGTGGTCCCACCCCCACAGAGCCCAACAAGCTAAGATCCTCTGGCTTGAAATTCTCTCTGCCAACACAGAGAGGGTGATTAAAGAACTGAAACTGAGCTTGACCTGGGATACTTGAGCTTGGTGGGAGGGGGGCATCCCCCATGTCTGAGGCTTGGGCAGGCAGTTTTACCCTCACAGTGTAAACAATGCCACTGGAAGGTCTGAACTGGGCAGAGCTCACCATTGCTCAGCAAGGCCACTGTGGCCAGACTGCCTCTATAGATTTCCTCCTCTCTGGGAAGGGCATCTCTGAAAAAAAGGCAGCAGCCCCAGTCAGGGACTTTTAAATAAGATCCCCACCTCCATGGGACAGAGTGTAGGACCTAAACATCCATACCTGGCAGCTCTGAAGAGAGCAGCAGATCTCCCAGCACAGCATTCAAACTCTGATAAGAGACAAACTACCTTCTCAAGTGAGTCCCTAACCCCCATGTATCCTGACTGGGAGATACCTCCCAGTAGGGGCTGACAAACACCTCATACAGGAGAGCTCCAGCTGGCATCTGGTAGGTGCCCCTGTGGGACAAAGCTTCCAGAGAAAGGAACAGTCAGAAATCTTTGCTGTTCTACAGCCACCGCCAGTGATACCCAGGCAAACAGGGTCTGGAGTGGACTTCCAGCAAACTCCAGCAGGCCTGCAGCAGAGAGCCCTAACTGTTAGAAGGAAAACTCAAAAACAGAAAGGAATAGTATCAACATCAACAAAAATCACATCCACACAGAGACCTCCTCCAAACATCACCTACCTCAAAGACCAAAGGTAGATAAATCCATGAAGATGGGGAAAAACCAGCACAAAAAGGTGGAAAATTCCAAAAATCAGAACACCTCTTCTCCAAAGGATCACAACTCCTTGCTAGCAAGGGAACAAAACTGGATTGAGAATGAGTTTGATGAATTGACAGAAGTAGACTTCAGAAAGTGGGTAATAACAACCTCCTCTGAGCTAAAGGACCATGTTCTAACCAAATGCAAGAAAGCTAAGAACCTTCAAAAAAAGGTTAGACAAATTTTTAACTAAAATAACCAGTTTAGAGAAGCACATAAATGACCTGATGGAGCTGAAAAACACAGCAAAAAAACTTCGTGAAATATACACAAGTATCAACAGCCAAATTAATCAAGCAGAAGAAAGGATATCAGAGATTGAAGAACACCTCAGTTAAATAAAGCAAGAAGACAAAATTAGGGGAAAAAGAGTGAACAGGAATGAACAAAGCCTCCAAGAAATATGGGACTATATGAAAAGATCAAACCTACATTTGATTGGTGTACCTGAAAGTAAGGAGGAGAATGGAACCAAGTTGGAAAACACTCTTCAGGATATTATCCAGGAGAATTTCACCAACCTAGCCAGGCAGGCCAACATTCAAATTCAGGAAATACAAAGAACACCACAAAGATACTCCTTGAGAAGAGCAATCCCAAGACACATAATCGTCAGATTCACCAAGGTTGAAATGAAGGAAAAAATACTAAGAGCAACCAGAGAGAAAGATCAGGGAAGCCCATAACACTAACAGCGGATCTCTCTACAAAAACTCTACAGGCCAGAAGAGAGTGGGGGCCAATATTCAATATCCTTAAAGAAAAGAATTTTCAACCCAGAATTTCATGTCCTGCCAAACTAAGCTTCATAATCAAAGGAGAAATAAAATCCTTTATAGACAAGCAAATACTGAGAGTTTTGTCACCACCAGGCCTGCCTGACAAGAGCTCCTGAAGGAAGCACTAAACATGGAAATAAACAACTGGTACCAGCCACTGCACAAACATACCAAATTATAAAGACCATTGTTGCTACGAAGAAACTGCTTCAACTAACAAGCAAAATAACCAGCTAGCATCATAGTGCCAGGATCAACTTCACACATAACAACATTAACCTTAAATGTAAATGGGATAAATGCTCCAATTAAAAGACACAGACTGGCAAATTGGATAAAGAGTCAAGACCAATTGGTGTGCTGTATTTAGGAAACCCATCTCACAT